GTGTAATTTTTTGATGTAAATGGAACTAAATACTATTAATTTCGTAACACTTAAAAAATGATTCGGGTCATTTTAATCCAGAGTAATTATCGTGTGACTTTTTTAAAGTGTGACCATAAAGGGTTAATATTAATAATTTTTTTTTATAGAGGGAGAGATATAATTAATCATTAAACTGATTTGTAATGGTAATTTTAAAGTTATTACAAAACCATCAATTTATTAATCAAATACACTTAGAAAAATACAATTTTTATATTATTATCAAGCTGATTCCAATCACAAGTTAACTGAAAATGAAAAATCCTGATAATATTTTTACAGGATTAATTCTTGCCTGCGTGTGTCTGATCGCATAATCAGGAAAGCTTCACGTTCGATTTTTTTGTCGCAATTTATCGTCGCATCTAGGAAATTAAACGGAATAAAATGTTAGTAATGCACAACATAATTTTAAATTCCGTTATATCTCACACGGTAAACATCGAACGACATCGTATGTCTAAAGAATTTACGTCAAGTGATGCACGTTTCGAATGGTGTCAAGCGTTTACCGTCTTTTCCGACAACCTCGCTACGATCTAACATCAAACATTTATGGCGTTATCGTGCGCATCTTTCTGAAGTGACTAATAATGCAAATTGACGTAAATGTCTCGCATTCGACCTTCCTATCTACTGTATTGTTTACAATATACATATGTACATGTTCTTGTATACTCGAGCGGAACGCCTCTGCGGAAATTCTTGATCGTTAAAATTGTGTTTTGTTTCTGAAAATACTTTAACGAAAAATATTCGTTATATACCTAAACATCTATAAAGTATGTACTGCAGTTATGCTATTTTCTTTCTTTAGAGTAATTAGAAAATTAACCGTTTCGGACGTTTCAATGACCCCAGTTGTTAAATATTTTATAATAAATATTTCCAATGATAAATATCAATAAAAAGATCTTCTCTTGAAATATCAGCGTAATGTTTACAACGTCGATTCTCAGCCTAATTTTTCCTTTTTTGTCGTATTCGAAAATATTCATAATCGGTGTGATTATAAAATGACAGATAATTATTTCATTCTGATAAACAGACAGAATATCGTCGCAATGTTTCTGCATTCTCCTTGAAAAAAAATCTCGAAAATTCGATTTACAGTCTTAATGCGTTAATACACCGATGAACAGAAGAAATTATAGATCGGTATTTATAATCAGTTCTTATTTTAAAACCATCTTAATAAGTAGTGCCTCGAGTTGTCAATACGGCTCTATGATTACGATATCTTAAGACTATATTTAAAACGAGGCTTAAATATGTAAGAAACAACTGTGAATACCAGTTATAGAGCGCCACGTGCACAGTAACTATTAATTTTTACAATTCATATCCTCGCAAGAGCATTAATCACATGCGTGCCTGCGGATAGTCGATTATCCATTCCGAGACAAGAATCGCGTAAATCCGCTGTGTCGTGAATTTTTGGAAGTTCATGCGTGCATGACAACGAATTTATTCACCAATTTATCTCACTAAAAGGAAACGTTAATTTCGCGTACAGAAAAACACAATATACATAATGGACGTTATTTATTTTTACTTGAAATCATTTGGAATAATCGTACGAGTTTTCTTTTCTCGCCACAGAATGCGATTCTCTCTCGAGGGTGTTTTTTTTTTTTTTTTTTTTTTAACTGTATTCATGCTGCGCGATGTCGAATTAGGCGAAAGTGCAAACGTGACTAGCGACGGTTTACGAATAGGTGAACGAACTCGAAGTTAAACCTTATCACCCGGATGATTTGCGCGGTTAGAAGAGCGGAAGAGCAGTGGCGGTCATCGCGCCATGCTAATGTCGCACGTGCATCACACGTGACGCGTAACGACCCGCGTGAATATCACGACGATTTATCGTGATTGACAAACCGATTGTCCCAATCGACGAACCTGTTTTTATTCTCCTTTCATCCTGTTAATTCTCATGATATTTATAAATTTACCTACGCGCAGTTGATAAGAACATGACAGACAGGAGTTTGATTGTAACTAATTGTGGTTAATTTTTTATTTTATTGGGTTTTATTTTCTATTAATATTATTAATACAAAAAAAAAAACATTTTGAGATTTAAAATTTAAAATAGAAAATGTTGCGCGTTTTAGAATTTAATGCGTTGCGTCGCGTCGATAATATTAGGAATGCGGAAAGTGAACTCTGATCGGTGATAACGTATATGTATAGTTAATTAAATTATGAAGAATTAAACTTGTTTATGAAAATCTCGTTTATTAATCGCTTTTACGAGGAAGACAAGTTGAAAATTAAGTAAGATAAAAATATATGTGCATCGATAACGCGATAATTTCGTAATTATGGGAATAAGGCGTGTTTGAAGCGAGGAATATAAATTCACGTCCGTTATGCAGTTAGCAAATCTGTCGTTGTAATGACGGTAGATGAACTCGAGATTTCATGGCGATGAGATCATTCTCGTTGTGTGATTATGTTACCAGAGCTTGCAAGCATAAACATTTTATCACCCTTTTACATGTATGAACTTTAATGAATTATACGTTATATATATATATATATATATACATATATATATACAGTTTTAATTCCAATAAAAATAATTACATAAAATTAACTCGCCTGACATCAAATATTTTTTATTGCAATACTTAGCATTAGCGTAGTATAATTTAATAAAATTAGTTATAAATAAAATAGAATTAATTTAAAATTTCGTAAAGTGGCTATTCAATCTTATTATTTATCTTCTTTCTTTCTCTCTCTTTCTCTCTCTCTCTGTCTCTCTCTCTCTCTCTCTCTCTCTCTCTCTCTCTGTCTGTCTCTTTCACTATCCAATACTAATATAAACATTATTCTTATTTTCTAATACGTTTTATATATTTTATTGAAATAAATACTTTGTTTACTCTTATTTGAGATGATAATTATAGTCTCATGAATTTTTGTTGCAAAATAATGAAAACTACAAGATTTGAAAAGAAAGAAGTTTGCCACTACAGACGTAGATGTGTCTTTTGTGTATATCGCTCAATACACAATCAAATTTCTCCTTATTTTTCCAGCTCCAATTAAAACAGAATATTGATAGCGTAGTTTTCTCTCTTACATACACAACATACAAAAGAAAGTTTCTCTGAAGATTCTTATATATTTTGTTTAAATAGCTTTGTCGTGTGTATATTGTCGGCAACTTCCATTATTCGGTTATGTATATACATAGGCATTATCGATTACTCATACTACTTATTGTTAGTATTCCAATGAGCAGAGAAGTTAAGAGTCGCATATTTATGTGATAATTTGCAAATTGCAAAGTACGATTCTTTGTTATCCTTAAATTAGTAAAAGATTCGCATTATCAAAGGATGCATAATTTTGTATAAGAGATAGTTATCATTATATTACATTATTAAGATAATTACTCTTACGTTCCAAATCTATAATTTATTCGATCTATATTTGGCAAAATATCTCAAATACCAAAATACTAATTAACAAATTCATAGATTTCAATTTTGATTAAATATACGATATAATCCTTTAATATTGATCTCGTTTGATCTTGCAATGAGATTAGCTTGGTAAATCGTTACACGTCATTTATAACTATTTCGTTATGCATGCTGAGTATTTTATTAGCATACAATGTAAAGAATGAAATTGTTTCGCCAAAACAATTATTTTAAAATAAATGCGTCAGTGGTTTTATTTATATATCACATTTACTTATGTAGAGCAAAGAGGCGAATCTGTCCTCGAGAAACTGTTATTTTAAGTACACGCTTGACTACGTTTTTATCTATTAAGTCTTTGCAGTACACGAAAAGCATGAATCACATTTTGAATGAATGTTAAAAAACCATGAGGTATATAAAAATGATCGTGAAGTATGACACATAAAGAACATGGTTACGTATGAACAATTATTTATTAAAAAAAAACAATATTTTTTTAATGCAATGATTTCTTAGATGTAACAATTGTTTTTGAAATCGTAATTTTAATATTTCTCCACTTCGAAATATTAAATTTCTTCTATATTTTTAATAATTTAATTTGCAAAGATTAATACTATATACGATGAAAATTAATATCATATATAAAAATTGTGACGTTATATTACTTTTTATTTATTTATAATACAAGAAAAGCGTATGAAATTTCCCTTCAACTTGACCTCGTAAGGTTACCGTGATCGATATGATGGCCGTTGTTACTATTTTTAAAAACATTACAGTGTGACATGTGTCATCGCGTATGTCGTTCAACGACATTCATTTTCTGTACATTTTACACCGAGTATATCAACATCAGCGTATTAAAAGCACTTTAAAGTTATTAGAAACAATATTTAACATTTATTTGAATATTTTAATTAGTACATTAATAGTTAAAATGGAAAAATTACGACACGTAAGAAGTAAATTTTTGCTAAAGAAATATGGATTTCAATTTCATCAAGGGTCTTTTTAGTATACATAGAAAAGGGTACCTCCTTCTGTTAGTATTCTGTAATAAATTTTATTATATTTTTAGAAGGAAATTACAAAATTACGATACACATACATGACGGCGTCTCGTTAATTTTTTTTTCATTAAAGATATACCTATAAATTTCAATTTCATAAAAAGTCTTTTTAATACAGGAAGTACGGGAGATCTTTCTTTTTAATATTTATTACTATATAATAATAATACATTTTATTATTCCTGGAAGGAATTTGCTGGAAGGACATTGCAAGGAAAAAAAATAATTGAGTAATCTATCCAGAATATTCCTGTTGGCAATTGTTATTCATTCTCCCTCGATCGTTTCGAGGAGATAAAATTTTCCTCGCGTGCGGAAACATTGCATTATTATTGAGAGACATTGAAAAGTGGTTGCTGTGCACATTGTCGAGCTATTGTAAAAGCTCGCGAAATTGGATAAGCATTTCAGCACAGAATAACAATTTTTTTTCTGACTGCAGAGTCCTGGGTGGATTTGGTGCCGGACCCACCACTGGCAGCCCGGATAACGCCGACGCCATTCAGCATAACCGGTGAACGCGAATACTTGCGACTTCTTAGGGAAGCACAAAGGGATTCCACACATTCGTCCGCGAAGCATTCCCTGGCGTCCTCGCGCCGGGATACTCCGAGGGATAGGTAAGACTTTATTTTCCGGATCTTTTATCTCGCAAGTAAGTTTGCGACGCCTCGACGAAAATCGCGCGGGAGACATAACTTTTCTATACTCTAAGAACCAGAAAGTAAGCGATTTCAGATTAAGATATCGCTTCAGAGACTTCGAGAAGCTTGGGAAAACCTTCTTGATCGTCGATTTGCCAGAAATCGGATAAAGCTTTTCGGAAATTGCGAAGGCTGAACGCGGACAGTTCTAACCAAAGTTAACTTTCTGCAGAGTTAAAGCCATGGTAGACATAAAAAAAAATTTAAACAGTAAGATTTAAGAAAATCAACATGAATTTGCTACTGCTTACGTTATATGGCTTTACTGTAAAGTCTCTATTGTGATTGGTCATTTCGCTTGATGCTTAAATCTTCGTATATTATGGACTTTAAGGTACCCTTTCATGCTGACATACTCGACACTCACTTTTAGCGTCAAAATATAGATTAATATAATAAAATAAATAAAAATTGTTGAATATAAAAACGCCATTTTTGACATGTGCGTGAAGTTAGCACCGCCATTTTGAAAAAAAAATAAAATAAAATTTGTATTGAATTGTGCTAGATTTGTGGCACAATGTAGCACAAATCTAGCACAATTCAACACAAATTTTATTTTATTTTTTTTTCAAAATGTCGGTGCTAACTTCACGCACATATTTTTGACCTATTTTGACGTTAAAAATAAACGTTGAGTGTATGAAAACGTATCTTTATATACGTGACAAAGCCAAGCACGCGGGAATTCGAAAGGCGCTTTGAAACAATATACAGCCAACTCTTATAATCTCGAGATAGTTTGAAGACTCGGCCAACAAAGCCGGCCGTTCAACTTACACCTATATTATTCACTCAAGTCTTCGGTGCGCAAAAGACAGCGATTCCCTCCTGTACGAGTACAACGAGAGAAAACGTTCGTTTCCGTTTCCTTTCCTTCTTGGAAAGGACTTCGTAGTAAGAAAAGAGGAGCGTCGTGAGTCAGAGGCGAGGAATGACGATCCGTATACATGGAGAACTATTTTTTTTTAGTCACATCATCATTAAGCGTTGGGGCGGCTCAAGGCCGCGTAGATGAAAGCAATAAAAGGCGAGTGACCTTATTGAACACATTATAAGTGCGCTTGGCGAATTGCAGATACATAGAAATAACTTTAGAGTAAAGGTTCAATTTAAAATTATAACTAAAAGAACAATTCTTCATTTTTTTGAATTTTATGATGTACGGCTGATTGAAAGGCTGTAAAAGTTTCTAATTTTCATAAACTCTCTTTTTTAAGCAGAATTAAATCGATATATAAATTATTACAATTACTACATCGTCACCTGCATTTTTGAATCGACATTAAACAACGTGCGTTAAATTGATTAAATTGAATTTTAGTCGCGATTGTGTCGCAATAATTATAGTAATGCCGCATGTCGCTCGTAAAGAATAAAGAGTTATAGTTACAAGTAAACATTTGTATTTTTACTTTCGCTGTTGAGACGGCTGAATTAACACATGGCTCTTAACAGGATTAAAATAGCGTCATTGAAAGACCCGCACAAATATCTTGGCAGGAGAACAACTAATGTGCGTTTGTACGACTTGCTGACAAAAGAACGTAGTTTGATATTTCTATGCACGGATTGATCTTAAAATATCAGTCACTGATTCTCTGACGCAAAAAAGTTTTTAATGATTTGCGAGAAATATATAATACACACGACACTCAGACGCGTCATAACAAAAAGCATTGATTTGTGGCAATTTGTGCATACATTTTATATTTGTATGTGTTTTTCCAACAATAAGTAATATTATCTCGAGCATGAAAGTCACGATCCTGTTATTGACAATACTTGTGCAACACAATGTTGAGACGACATTCCGCGATATATAACGTCGTACACGTCACGATGAATTGTTTAATCCTCTTTATGCTCAGTTCTATTAATGTGGATTAATTTTAATTCTCGATTTAATTTACTTTTTATTCCTTTCTAATAATAATAAAAAGTAAATTAAACCGAAATTAAAGTTAATCTGCATTAATAGAAATGGACAATTACCGCTTTGTCTGTACACTGTGCGGTATCACTCGCTATCTTTGCGAAAAAAATTTGAAGAAAATTAGCATAGGCTATTTAACCAGTTTGGCAAATGACACGAGTGCAGTAATTGTCAAAAGTTTTAACAGAGGAAAATAAACATACATTTGTTTATTAAATATTTGACGAAAAATTTTATCATTGTGCATAATTATTGAGTTAACAAATTTTGATTTTTTAAAAGCATAAAAGAAATAAAACATTTATAATAATTTTTGATATGTTTTCTTTAAATGGTTATCGTTTACTTTGAAATTACACAGAAAAATCTTTTACGTACAATTTGCACGTATTATCATACTTGTATAGTTTTCCATGCGCCAAGTTTTAAATTCGTCGTTAAGCAAACGAAACATTTTATATACGTATACGTAATCTAGACAGAAACGCACATTTCTTAGAAATTTAGTTCCTTCAAGCCATTCGCATTAATAATAATTAACTCTATTAGTATTATATATATGATATACAATAAATTACATTAGATTACATGAGATATCAAAATATGAGAGACTAAGATATTAATCTGTATTTTTAAGCGATTGCGAAGTTAAACATAGTGCTTTATCTAAAAAGAGAAAAAATGAAAATAGGAGAGTCGACAACGCGTGTATATGATGCACTTGATATAAATGCGCTTATCGCAACTTGCAGCTCTTCACCGAGATGCATCAGCGATTACGAGCTTGATAGCGATTGCGCTGCTCTTCGTCGTGATATCGATGTCAAGCGCAAGGATTACCGCTGCTGTCAACCGCATATTGTAACTGCGAGTGTCGTCAGTTCGATCGCGCGTAGTTTGTGAGGTACTGATGGATTACGCATAATACGCGGGAGGTCGCAAACTTCCAAGGTGACATATTATCGCGGCGACTTTTCGCGCGTCGTTTTATCGTTTGACCGACCAGAACGAATCTGGCGATAAGCAACTTGACGACACTTCTCAGCAATTCTTACGCAAATCAATAAACAAAAATGAAGAAAATAGAACTTATTTTAGAATTATTAGAATTATTTTGTATCTATTAGAATTAATAGAATTTATTTTGCGCGTTCCACGAATATATAATATAATATAATAAAAACAGTATATTTCTTTATTTAGTTTTTGACATATATAAATTTCAAAATTAGTCTGTTGTGATTCAGATTAATACCTAAGTCAATGTAGAATATTTTACTTTTAATATGTCGACTCCATTTTTGTTTGCTTTATTGAACTGATGTATATATATATATATACATATATGTATAAAGATAATTATTTTTAAAAAACACAAAATATTAGAATTAAATGAGAAAATTATAAAGCAATGTAGATTGAATCATTGAATGCGAAATAATTTTTTAAAGGGAGAAGTCAAAATTCTCTTATTTCAATAATGCAAACAATTAAAATATTTTATTAAAAAAGAGTCACCGAAAATACATTTTATAAAATATATTTTGATAACTAAACATCTTTTTGACCATCTGTAGAAACAATACATGTGGAATCGTCGCAGTTTTAAATGAAGTGAGCATAGCGATAAGTGTTGAGTAATGTTGGTTAAATAAATAAGCAATGCTCGTAACGACCACGTCTCCAGCGGAAAATTTCGTGACGGGAAGTTACCACTTACATTTGTTTACAACGTTTATAGATCGTAACATATCGTTTCCTTGAATTTGCAGCCCGAAGAGCCCGCCGAACAGCCCGAACACAGAACTCTCAACCGAAGATGAGCTCAAAGGAGTCTACATAAATTACGGCTGTAACAAGGTCAGTTTCAATCGATTCTTTACTACGTATTCTTTACGATCTGGCTTGACTATAGAAAGCAAGACTATGTACGAGTTCGTGTGCGTAACTACATACGTTCATCCCTGTTATGTCGCGCAATGTGTAGTATGATACCCATCGGAATCGTCCTAGAAATATGTTGCGATCGCAATCGGATTTTTTTTTCTCGGAAAACGTCTGCCATCAATATTGCCTCCACTGTATTATATATAATACCATAATTTTCTTTTGACTCATGTTACTCGAGTTTAGTAAAGTAAACGAAGTCGAACATTTATGGCTGAAACGAGAATGAAGTTTCAACTGATGCATAAAGTTGGCAAAGTCCAATTTGAAATTATAGTTAGGCCTGAAGCTCGGCTTGAAGCAAGATATTATACCTCGGTACGATTTAATATATATTTCTCTTTATTATATTTAATTTTTTAAATTCTATTTGTTGTTACGAGTGATGTAAATGAGTAATTTGCATAATTTCAATCATTGCTGTTTTAATTATATATTTAACTTTTAAAATTTCTTGTTCAAAAAACTGTTAGGTAATAACGTCCGACTTTGTTTTCTTTATTGAACTGGAGAAAAAATAATACATAACATAATGTATCATTTTTATAAAGATATGAAATATCAAAGTCAAATGAGAAAATTATAAAGCGCGGTGCAGATTGAGTGAGAAATAATTCCACAAATGCGGGGGAAAAATTCGAAGTTCTCTCGCTTTAAAAGTGAGAACAATTTCCATCGAGTTGTTAGATATAAAAGACGGGGTGGGAATAATATCGATTGAACTCGTACACCTCTGTACGCGCGCGAGATTCCGTGTTCGCTTATAGGAGCGATGCGCAACTGGTTTTATCGAGCGCGGACCGTTTTTCCTGTACAAGGTCTGCGGATCACTGACTCCATTAGCGCCATGCCCCTTGTAGCTGTGCGAGCTACCGTGGATTACCACGTACACCCATCGGCACGAAGCCTAACGCCACTGCAATCTCATTCTTCCTTCCGTCGTGCCCCAGTTTCTTAGAGACTAACGAAATCGCGTTGCAGCACACGGCTCTTGTACGGCGTGTACAGCTCCTTCGGTCGGAACGTTGATCTTCGATATTGCGCAATACAATTCTAAGTCTGGATCGTTGTTTGTTTAATAAAGCACGCAGTATCTGAGTCAAAGGATTCTACATGCGCACAATTTATCTATCGAAATTTAACATTTTATTCATTTTTAATATTTGCATTCATTTAAATTATATTTCTAAAATCACACGTACTTGTCACATTAAAAAATTTTCCTTAAAAAAATTACATTTACATACAAAAAATTCCTTCTAAAAAGAATTAAGATAATTCTGAATTGATAATATATATGTAATGACGTTTATGTCTAAGTCGATTTTTGTAATCCCACGTAAAATGATAGCAAATGTTTGTGTAGACATAGATAAAAAAGTTGGATAAAAAAATATCGCATACAATATCTTCGTGTTGTTAGACATTTCAATGGTACGGGCGATTCGCAACTAAGACAATTTACATGCAAATACAACGTTAACTATTCATGCGCCAAGTGCGGCGAGAGTTTCAACGACATTTGCGCATCTCCGTCGCGATAGATAGTTATTGAAATACTCTTTCTCGCGCTCTCGATTATTCAAGAGATATCAGAAAGTTGCGCGATAAAATCCACGATATTATTTCCGCGAGACTATGAGGAATAACCGCGCAAAATGTCTGGAAATTTACAAAAATAAAAACGAATAGATTAGAGAGACGATGTTTCGAAAATTCGATGCAATATTTTATCAAGTTTTTTTAACTATGATAAATTCAGTTTTAAAATTGAATTTAGATTAATATTCTCATGTTGAAAAAAACCCGTTTTGCAACGATCTTGACAAGATCGACCATAATTCTACTAGACAGGAGCACATTTTTGTGTTTAGCTGTATTGATAACATTGCGTATATGAGATCACACGATTCTTGTTTTTAAATATGTGCGCAGTAGTTCAAGTATGTAATTTTTTGTATTATCATTTAACATAATTTTTTTATAATTTAATAAATAATGTCCACATAAATCTTTTATTTTACCTTTTTTTTACCAATCTTCATTTGCCTTTTTATATGTAAAAGTATAAAGTCGTTTTTAGACGATCAGGTTTACAAATTAGTTTTCGTTATGCGAAGAACATTTGTTATTACGTCCATTTGTTTGACTTTTTTTATCAGTTCGTATAAAAAGAGACATAAAGATGCAAACATAACATTTTATTTGAATATGTAGAAGATATATATACGAATATTATTACACTGCGATAGCTTTTGTAATAAGGATATATTCTGGATCGGCTTTTATAGAAACGCGATCAATAATCATTACGGTAGTCGCGATGTCTCTCCTGTGTTTGCGCACCTTTTATCTCGAGGACAAACAGACGTCGTTATCGAGATTAAGCAGGTTCTTGAGAAAATACGTAACATCTTCGCGAATGACTCGCACAAAGCAGCGTGAGGTCGAGAGATCGGCTCGAATCCAATGAATTGTCGATAAAGCTGGACGCACAGGGTCTTTATGACGTTACGGGGACGACGAAAATAGCGACAAAGACTGACTGTATCGCGAGGTATGAGTAATGATAACAAGTGGAACCGAGGATCGTAAGGCTTTTCTTCCATGAGTCACTCGCCCTCGTTGTCTTTGTATCGGTAAAAAGACTCGCTGCCATTGAAACGTATTGCAGTATATCTTTCGTTCTTAACGTTTTTATTAGTTTTTCCCCAAATCTATATCTGTCCATACGAATTACACAAATTTACTCGACGATCTATCGATCGTTATCACTGTATTTTTAAAATTAAATACTCAATTAAATATAATTGCATTTTTAAGAAGTTATTGTATCAATTATGTGCGCATTTTCCTTTGTCCAATATACTTTTGTTTTTACACAAAGGCTATATATTTGTAGAAATAGGGATTGTTTGTTTACACACGAAGACTTTTATTAGAATTGTGTACAAACACTTTTAGGAATGTATGACGTATGTATTTATAAGCAAGAATCATCTACAAACATGTTTATGCATAACAGCCTAGATAGAGAAATGTATTAATTTATATGTGTATATAATATTGGAGATATGACTTTCCTAGTTTTTTTATCTGTTTGTCTCTCTCTCTCTCTCTCTCTCTCTCTCTCTCTCTCTCTCTCTCACGCGTATATTGTATATAATATGATATATCACACAACCGTTGTGCTCTCTATCTCTCGTCATTTTCATTCGCTATTAACATTGGCAATCTGCAATATATAATGTACTTTCTTGCGACAATGAGAGATATGAAAATTTCAACTAAATAAATCTTACGTTAAAGTAAAAGCTCAAGTAAAAGTAAAATCGGAAAAAATATATTGAATCTGAATATTCTTTAAATTGCGAAGACTAGATTATCTAATTTATTGTTACCAAAGATATCAGTTATCCGAGAATTTCGCTGTGCGTCTATGACAATAGTTTAAGATGAAAAATGGAAAATCGATCTGTAATAATACCCGTATTGCACGCAACGGTGCTCACGCAATCTTGTAAGCCGATCGACGTGTACCCGCTTTTACTCTTCTTCCAGTATCAACTCGCAAACCGGTTGTTGCGCATTTAAAGTGAATGTATTCGCGCGATCGTGTTAACGCGTTGCGAATCAGTAGAAATATTCTGTATACTAGAGATTAACAATGTACCTGTATACGTATATACAGGATGTTCTCAAATTCGCGATTTAAAATGTCATAGCAAAAAAGTTCTCAAAAGTTTAAATACAAAAGTTATTAAAAGTGAAAAAAATTTGTTCGTGTTATACAAAGCAATCTATATGGAAACCTGGTCAATAATCGAGCTAAATAAAGATGTAAAAAAATAATCAAAATATTTATTATATGTTTAAGAGAACGTTTCGTGACCACAGGTTCTTTTTCAATATTACCATAGTTGTCAATTTTTTTTTAAATTGATTGGTCATCAAAACTTCGTTGTTAAGCGGAAATCAGGTAACAATCCGAAAAAGAGGAAGAGAGAGAGAGAGAGTGTGTGTCAGTGTATAAAAGTTTTAATTTAGATCAAATAAAAAAATTATTTCTAAATTATTTTTATTTTAAGCAATATCTTTTACAATAGATAATAAAGATAATAAAGATTTAAATATAAATAAGATAATAAAGATTTAAATATAAATTACAGTTATAAATTACGTTTAGATGTGACGATCTGTTTATGAGTCGTACGTGCGGTAGTTTAGTGAGCGCTGATGAGTACATTTTTTAGCACACTTAATACGCACAGGTGACTATTTAAATATAGTTTGTAGTTAGTCATATTTAAAGATATACTTCAGAAACTATTGCGTAAAGTAAAAATTTACTTATAGGGTGTCTCTCAAAATTTTTGACTCAAAAATACTGTAACAAGAAAAAATTGTAAAAAAAAAAATATTTTCGAAAAAATTAAGTAAAAATTTATACAAATAACTTTTTTACTTAATTTTTCGAATACTTTCTTGCTTAATATTTTAAGTTACGAATGTTGGAACACCCTATATACATATACATGTATGTATTTATAGCTAATCTTATTTATTAAACTACATCCCGCAATGCAGTATAGAATATTTCGAATAATGCATTAATAATCCTATTTAAGGAATAATGCTGTATTTTTTCGTTTGTTTATTGTAAGCGATGTTTGTCAGTAAATCAAAATACCAACACAAATGAATAGTTAATATAACATAGAACGCAATGCAGTTACTTTATACGCTAGAGAGTCGCGGTGGCAACTCCGTTCCATTGTGGTGCACGTTCGTAACGTGGAATTCAACCGAACGGTTTTGCGGCGGAACGGATGTGAGAGATGCGGAATTTGCGGCATGAAGCTAATGTAATCTTGTTATTAAAATGTATCCGATCGATCGACGGGAAAAATAGT